ATACTTGAAAGGGACGTCAACGTACGGTCTCTATCTCGATGGAAAAGGGAGAGATGTGACTTACGAAGTGTACACTGACGCGAGCTTCGCGTCTCAACCTAAAGAACGTAAATCCGTTACTGGATATGTCATTCAAATGGCCGGTACTAGTGTATCGTGGTGTAGTTGCAAACAAGGAGGCGTGTCGCTTTCGACTGCTGAAGCAGAACTCATCGCACTAAGCGAGGGAGCTAAAGAGAGTGAGTGGTTGTGGCATCTCCTAAGCGAGATGGGATTCCCACAAAAGGTACCAGTGCAGGTTTGGTGTGACATTAACGCTGCCATCAGCATTGTGAAGAATCCTGGAAATCACAAAGCAAATAAGCACATAGAAATTCGATTTCTGTTCACACGGGACTTAGTGGAACTTGGTCGTCTTATGATTGCTTATTGTGCAACGCAGGAAATGACTGCTGATATTCTCACAAAAGCTCTACCCACAAAACAGTTCCTAAAACTGAGAGAGAAGCTAGCAAAGACTGACACCGGTGCGAGGCAGCTACAACACTTCCTGGACAAGGCTGGGCTGGTAGATGCTGGGCTGTATAGACAGCCGAGGGTGCAGATCGCGGCAACGAAGACAGCGTACAGCATACATATTTTTACACTACAGCAGACGGTCAGAAGGGGTCCTCTACGATCGATCGGTTCTACGTCACCGGAGGCTTACGAAATTAGTGCAGGGATTGGAGACGGAGGAGGCACAGTGTCGCTCGGACCACCGAGCAGTGCTGCTCGAACTACATTCGCCGCAGGGGATACTGCGCGTTAAAGTACGCCCAAAGATATATCCGCCCCTGGGGTACGTACAGGCGGCGACACACAGCCTCAATCAACAGCGGCTACGCCTGCTGATGATGGAGTTACGAGCGGGCAAAGAGGAGAACACCTCGGCACGATGGGAGAAGTTCAAAAAAGAGGTGATAAGTCAGATGAGGAAATTGAAGCAGGAGGCAAGGGCCAAGATGACTAACAGCTTCAGGCAAAAGATTAAGAGAATTAAGGCCAAGCTCGAGCAATGTGAGGGATAGAGGGGGACGAACCTCGCAGGGCTCAGCTCCTGGAGACACTCAGGCAGGTACAGGAAATGATGAGGAAGCTGAAACGCAGAGTGCTGATGGCAAGAACGGCTTGGAGCGCGAAGGCGACGACTAAGCATTTCTACAGGAGAATCTGTACCAAATTTGGCGACAACAATATACGCAAGTTAGTGCAGACAAAAAGGCGGTACCCAGAGAGGAGCATGACAAAGCCAATATTCTGAGGGACAGCTGGGAAGACATATTGAATGGGGAAGTAGAAGACAAGACAACAATGGAGGATTTCATTAAGAGATGCAGCAGGAACTGGACGAAGGTTGATTTGGGTGAACTTGACGAGGACATCACAGAGGATGAGGTGCGTACGGCGATAAAGGCGAGTAAGTCGGGTAAAGCCAGCGGGGCCCGACGGGTTGGGGAACGAGTGGTATAAAACCCACAGCGAACCCCTGGTGCCGGTACTAGTGCAGACCTTCAATGACTGCCTGAGCAAGGGTCACACCCCAGCCAGCTTTCTCGAAGCGTACTTTTTCAGCATAAGCAAGGGGGGACAGCACTAATCCGCTCAACTATAGACCGATCGCTCGGCTGAACTCCGACTACAAAATATTTACGAGAATCATAGCGTGGGGGTAAGGCTCTATGTGGATAAATTGGTCAGCAACCGACAGTACGGATTCGTTCCGGGGAGGGTAATTTATGATGTAATTGAGATATTGGACGCAGCCAAGGAGATATGCAGGACACGGGAGGAATTACCGGATACGCAAGTGCTGCTATTGGACTTTGCGAAAGCATACGACTCGCTGGATAGAGAATACCTACTTGCGATGCTAAAAGCCAAAGGCTTCCCTCCGAAGCATCTGGCGATTATAAAAGCCATGCACACGGACACAACGGTGCAGTTCATGGCCAATGGGCACATATCGGAGAGCATGCGAGTGACGAGTGGCATTCGCCCACTAGCGCCGCTGCTGTTTATTCTCGCGGTGGACTATCTGTATGACGCGATAGAAGGCGATTTACAGCTGCAAGGAATACCGATGACAGATCGAGTGAAGGAGCTGCGGGTGGCAGGCTATGCGGACGATACCGCGATCTGCATCGGCAACAGGAAGATGCAGGCAAGAATGCTACAGGTAGTGAGCAGCTTCTCGAGGGTGTCGGGGCTGACGCTGAATATTGGTAAATCGGTGGCAATCCCGCTGGGGGAGAAGGGCGGAAAGCCAACCCACGAGGTCACACCCACTCAATCGGAGGAGGCGTCCCTGGGCTCTGCACGGGAAGACCGGGTGCAGATCAGTGAGGCGACCAGGTACTTAGGACTCATGGTGGGTGAAGGCAGCACGGTGCAGGCCACGTGAAACAGGGCCTCCTCGGTGCTGCGAGTCCGGTTGGCCTTGGTAGAGGAGAAAACTAACACAGTCAAACAGCGAGCGGAGATTGCGGCGGCGATAATAGTCCCGAAGTTGATGTACGTGGCGCGGCACGCATGGCCGACTCCTGAACTAGTGAAAGAGGCAGATCAGCGGATAAGGAGCTACGTATGGTCCGCGTCTTTCGCAGCACCATGCAAGGCCACGGCGGGATGGATACAAGCTGACATAGCGGAGCAGCACGTGGGGCATGGGGGCTGGGAGTGCCCAACATTATCTCGGAGCTGCAGGCAATGAGGGCGATGGTGATCGAAGAATGGGCGGTGTCGACGGAGCCAATGAAACAACATGTTGGGGATATACTACAAAGGCGGGATACAGGAACAGCAGCTCACCTGGTTCCGCAGCGATCCAAGCCCACACGAGGAATCCGGGGTAGTTTGTGGGCGACTGGTAGGCAGTGGGCAAAACCATACTTCCATAATCTCAGCGGGTGGGGAGTGACCGAAGACACAGTAAACAAGGACATCAGGGTGAACATGAAGCACCGGCACGGTGTTTTAACTCGGTGTGCCACGGACGGGCAGGGCGCGCAGCGCCCTAATTGACCTAAAACGGAAACGATCTGAGGTACTGGGCCAGTGCAGGGTGGATGCAATAGCGGGTCTGAGACTGGATTAACTCTGGTTTGGAAATGCAGACGGACAGCAGTGCGCCTGGTCCTATTTCAAACGAATATTTGCAGTGAAAACAGGGGTCACAATAGGGGAAATCGTACGAGTTACCGGTGAACAGAATGGGGCGATACTTTTTAGACCGACGTCGCTGCAACTCCCATAGCCCAGTACACACGCGCACTTATTTCGCGAGGTCTGCCTGAATATGCTCGTGGACTTCCTGGAACTGGTGGGGGCGCAAAGAGATGCCAGGGAACTCAGGGTAGACCACCCTGTGAAAGACAAGCACCACGTGTTCGAGCTGACAGAGGAGAGGAGGCCGCAGGTTGCACACTCCTGGGGGCAGACAACCCAGATACTACCATAGAATCCGCAGACAAGCACGCTCGCAAAGGAAGTGGCGAGTTTCCTGAAAGTAAAAGAGACAGCAGTATGCATCGCAGCACACCCAGAATGATGCCGCTGTGGGTGGGGCATAGGAGATCGCGACAATCGCGTAAGGACTACAAGAACCACATAAGGCAACAGAGAGAGGAAAGCGTGCGAGCGAGCAGAGAAAAATATACAACAAACAGCAACAGGAGCATGCATGCATCGCGGCTACATGTACACTGTATGGAGGGGGTCACTGTTTACCAATCGCAAAATCTGTACAAGCTCAAGGTCAATAAACTACGACTATGGGCTGGTGCAGACCAAGGCATGAGATGTCCAGCGCCTGGGTGCAGAGGAAGATGACTGGCGGAACAGCACATCTGGCTTGGGGTGCCCAGTAACAAAACGTTTTTGGTCGGAATTGCAGAAAATGTGGGGTATGGGCAACGACGGACCAGAGGAGGTGCAGAAGACGGCGGTGTCAGACATCTTTGGTTTGCAGTTAGCGAGGCTACCAAACTGGTTGATCACCTGGGGAGTGAGACGGAACGGCTTAATTGGGGTGACCTGAAGAAAACAGTCCAAGATGTGGGGGGTCGGAGTGGCGACTATAGTGACTGTGATATGGCGGTGGAACGTGGATCGACGGCATCCAGACGGTAGAAGGCAGCAATCACTGCAGGAGGCGAGACATAGGGCTCGTGGAGCGATAGTACAAGTCTATGAACGATATCGTTTGGGACTGCTGCCCATCACGACGAGTACGGAAAATAGGCTGCGAGTGGCGGGGGCAATTGTCTCTCACTGCAGAGAAACGGAGAGACTGCTGGATGCAGAGGAGAAGATCAGGTACACACGGGTGGGATTCTTTGACAGGGGGTCACACGGCAACCCGGTCCCAGGTGGAAGTGGAAGCGTCATCGTCCAGACAATGATAGATGGGGTGGGCATGACCCCGGTGTGGGCAGCAGCTACAGCACTCGGCAGCAAAAGGATGACCAACAATGTGGCGGAGTTCGTCGCCTACACAGGGTTTTGGTTCCTGCGGCAGCCAGAGGATGGAGAAACTTGCACATAGTGGGGGATAGCGAGATGATACTGATGATGCGAAGTAGGAAACCACCAAAATTAGGCAAACTAAAGCACTGGTTCCAAGAAAATAGCAGACTAGTAGACATCTGCGGGGTGGCAAATTGGACGCACCATAACAGGGCGCACAACAAAATGGCGGATTGACTTGCAAACTACGCGATGGACGGGAGGAGAAGTGTGAGGATGGAATGGGAAGCAGGCAGGAACACGCATGCCATCCATGTGGGCGTTGATGCGTGGATAGCAGGCGACATTACACGGTGGAAGGAGGTAGGGTCGTCCTAAGAAACCAGACACACAAAGCGAATGGAGTCAGGAGAAGGGAGGCAGATGTGGCGAAGCGGGATCTGCGAAAATCGCGTTGACGCAGGTCTCGA